CAGTGGGGATAAAAAATGCAAGCAGATCATCCTGTAAGATATGCTGCAACCCCCTTCCCCTCCCTTCACGCTTGCAGTATTCCATTCCCTCACTGAGCTCAAGGACACATCGAGCACCTGCCCTTTGTGGAACTGTGATGGGCCTTGGGGACAGTCATCAAAGAACACTGTGAAACTGGGACAGGGAGTGGGCTGAGTGTTTTGCATGCTTAGGTCCCTCTTGTTCTGCAGGTCTCAACACACTTACTCTGCGTAGTCTTTCCCAAACATTTACCTAGAATATGTTCTCTCATTTCTCTTTTCTCACGTTGCCCTCTTGACTTCTTCATAGCATTTATTGAAACCCAAATTGCCATAATTTTTTATTTGTCTTCCCCCATTTGAACGTCAGTTCCATAAGCACAAGAACTTCGCCTTTTTGTTCACGTCTATATACCCATTGCCTAGACCAGTACCTGACCCATGGTAGGCACTTAAGAAATATATTATGCTGTAATATTTTCTCACTATCTAGCTTCCACTTCACTAATTCTCTCTTCATTTGTGTCCAATCTGATGTTAAACCTGGTTACTGAGTTCTTAATTTCTATTATTGTGTTTTTATGTTCTAGAAATCCCATTTGGTTCCTTTCTACAATTTCCAGTTCTCAGTCCTGTCTTATATATCTTTGAATATACTAAGCATTGCTCTTTGAGAGTTTAGTTGATAATTCCATGATAATTACATCTGGATCTTCCATGTAATTGTTTGTATTATCATTTCTGTGAGGGCTGGGCTGTTGTTTCCTATTCACTCTCACTCCTCAGATGTAATCTTTCATGGTCCCAACCCAAAGCCTAGTTGGGGGTGAGGGAATTTACCTTTTCTTAGTGGGTCTTGAACTATAGTTTTTCTACCTCTAGTCCCATACGTTTGTAGAAAGCTCTGCACTTCGTGACTTCCTCTCACCAGTGGATTCTCAGTTCTTGTTAGCCAGGGCTAGAGGCCCCTAAGGTCCTACTCAGGTTTTTCCGAGGCTTGCAACAGGAGGTTTGCAACAGGAGGCCCAAAGGGAAGTGAGAGGGGGTTTTCTTTTACTATTTGGTATGCAAATTAGGCACAAAACAGACTAAGAAAAGGAGAGTAGGTGAGGTTAGAGCTGGGCTTCAGAGCCAACATCTAGATCCTCCAGGACGGAAAGGGACAGGGAACCAAGACGTCTGGGCAGCCCCATAGGTTACATACACGAATGTGGCTTCAGACAGACCTGGATTCAAGTTCAAATGAGACTAGCTCTACCATTTATTCCGTGGGACAAGTCAGTGGGACAAGTAAGTTTCGTTACCTGCTTGCCCCTCCACTAGCCCCCCTTCCATCCATCCTAGATTGACACAAACAACCCATCTGCTATACTCTTTACCCAAATCACAAAATACTAGGTCTGAAGAAACTTCTGAAATAATTCATTATAGTCTTCCTAGTTGAAATGAGAACGATGAGGCTGAAAGGAAACAGGCCTACTAGAAGCTAGACTCCCAGATTACTAATACGGCGCTCCTTTGTTTTCACAGAAATCTACTATCCCACCCCCAGTCCCAAATATGAATGTTCTGAACCTATGGAGCCACATGCAACCTTACCGCTAAACCTAATGCTATCCCAACCCTTTCTCTTTTAGCTCCGGTACCCTGCCCCAATCTTATTATTTTTATTTTTAATCCTCACCTGAGGATATTTTTCCATTGATTTTAAAAAAAATTTTTCCATTGATTTTTTAGAGAGAGGGAAAGACAGGGAGAAATATCAATGTGAGAGAAACACATCAATTGGTTGCCTCCTGCATGTGTGGCCGGGGAGGAGCCTGCAACAAGGTACATGCCTTTGACCAGAATTGAACCTGGGACCCTTCAGTCCGCAGGCTGACGCTCTATCCATTGAGCCAAACCAGCCAGAGCAGAAATAAAGTTCTGTGGACTGAAGGGTCCCAGGTTCGATTCTGGTCAAGGGCACGTACCTTGTTGCTCTCTCCATTGAGCCAAACCAGCTAGGGATTTTTTAAAAAAAAATTATATACTATTTACTATGTGTTCACACATTTAAATGGGTTATATTGCACTTAATCCCATGGTTGTTCTTTTGTTAAAAGCTCAGAAAGGTACAGTTTCTGGCCTAGGGTTGCAGAGATGACAGATAATTAAAACCAAGATTCAATCCCCAGAAGGCATTATTCCAAGGCCCGGGGACCTGTGAACTGCCCCACAGCTGCCCCTTGTTTGTCTACCTCCCACCCCTTGGGATTTGTCTGGGTCCCAGAATGCATCATCAGCCAGGGCCCAGTGTCCTCAACCCTGAAATCTGTAAAGGAAGCAACACCCCACCCCATAGGCCCTCCTTCCTCTCCCTTTCACCCCGCCTCTCTGTTCAAAAACAGCCCAGCCAAAAGGAGCCTGCAGACAGCCCGGTGCTCATTTCCAAAAGCTGCTACCAAGATCCTCCCAAGATGAAGGGCTTCTACTTCCTCCTGTTCACCATCAGCTTCCTGATTATGATTCAGGTAAGAGCAGCGCCCAGCCCTTGGCACCACTGCCCGAGATTCACTAGACCTGCCTGCATTGGAGGAAGGGACACAGACCCCTGGGCACCCCGTCTTCTCCCGTGGGAACAGAGGCAGAAAGGCTCCAGCAGGCAAACCAAGGACGAAGGGGGTCTGGCTCAGGCTGTGTTCAGACTACCTGAGGCTGCCCCCGGACAGAAGCCTGTCACTGAGGCTGGGAGCACGCTCAGGGTGCCAGGAACACGGAAGCACCCAAGGGGCGCTGTGGAATCAGGGTGAATTTAGAGGCCTGGGAAGACACCCCTGAGTGAGGGTGGCATCAACCCACAAGGAACCTGGGGCAATGGTCTTATTAGAAGGGGCCAGGAAACGTTTGTGTGGAACCTGACCCTTTCTGGGGGTGGCAGGGAACCCCCAGGGAGAGAAGCCTAGGTGTTCTGAATGTAGAGAAGGTAGAAATCACCCACTCCAGAAACAGGCGAAGTCTCAAAAGCAGCTGCTATTCCTGGAGGCAGCTTCAGCAGCATCCCATGCCCAGAGGGCTCCAGTCAGCGTAAGAGCTGGGAGCCATCAAGTTCTTGATCAAGAGCAGCTTGATCAAGCATCAAGAACAGCTTGAGCACCATCAAAAACAGCTTAATCTCCATCAAGAGCAACTTTAGCTGCAGCTTGGTCAAGCATTGAGAACAGTGTGATCACCATCTGGCCATGTCCTCAGGGAGGAAATTGTACTCTCTCCATCTTTCCACCCACCCACCCACACTTTGCCAGGTGCCTTCCCATGTGTCACCACCCCCCCCCCCCCAACTGTAATGTGCTCTTCTCTCTATTCAGAATATGAGGAAACTGAGGCTCAGATAGGTTAAGCCTCTGGCCCAACGGGTAAGCTCAGGGGCCGGGGGCCACAGCCTCCCCTGTCTTCCACATGCTGGAGGAGCTGCTGGTCTGGAGATGACAGGAAGGTTCTGTGGGAGGTGGGCTAGGGACTGTGTCAAGGCAGGAAGCATCCATGGGAACTGGTGGCAGACGTCATCATCATGGGACAGAGAAGTGAAGACTATTGTATTGGGTGGGGGGGATCTGTGTCTCTAAACAAACATGAGATTCAAAAGCCCCCTGAGCTTGCCCCACTTCTCTTGCAGATACAAAGTGGAATCTTGCAAAACATTTCCGCACCTACCACTTCCACCACTTCCACCACCTCCTCCGCCTCCACCACCTCCACCTCTGCCACCACCTCCACTACCAGGGCTACCACCACCACCACCTTCGGCACCAAGAAAATCAAGGGCGGGGCCCCAGCTCTCAGCAGCCTGGGCAGTGGCGGTGTCCTTATCTTCTTGGCCAACACCCTCTTCCAGCTCCTCCACCTCAGCTGAGGCGACAGGCGTCAGCCCCAGCCCTGTGTCCTCTGAGACATGGCAAGAGAAACTCCCCATCCCCAGTCCTTGGGCGGGGTTGAGACCAGAGACCACCAGTTGTGGAAACTGACAGAAAGTTCCTTGGGGGCAATGGCCTACAGAGGGAGACACTGATGTGGAGGTGTTAGCATCACCCGGCTGGGGGTCAATAAAGTTGTCCTGTACCTGGAGCTGGGGCCTGTGTGTGGTCATTGACATCAGGGGGCCCCAAACGCCAGGTTTGCAACAGCACCAAGGAGCCACTCAAGCCCCCATCCCAGGAGGTGGTGCCAGGGAGCTCCCACCCAGCTTCCCTGATCCAAAGTCCAAATGCTGAGGCTCCTCCCCTTGGGATCACCTTGCAGAGACCCGACACTTCCTCATCAGAATCCTCCCCTGGACCTGTGAGCTCCCTGAGGGAGGGGCCAAGGGGCTTGGTTCCTGTGTGTCCCCACAGCCCCTGCGTCTCACACACAGGCACACATTTCCTTAGTTCCTTCCCTGTTTAAAAATAAATTGGTCGTGTGCTCCCCATGGGGGGTGGGGGGAGCATCAAAAACCCCATGCATGTTCCCACTAAGTGAGAGAGGTGCCAAACCTGGCTCAGAGCAGGTTCTCGGCACACATCATTTGGGGTAACTGCTTAAGAGTCCACACTCACGCCCTGACTGGTTTGGCTCAGTGGATAGAGCGTCAGCCTGCGGACTCAAGGGTCCCAGGTTCGATTCCGGCCAAGGGCATGTAACTGGGTTGTGGGCACATCCCCAATAGAGAGTGTGCAGGAGGCAGCTGATTGATGTTTCTAACTCTCTATCCCTCTCCCTTCCTCTCTGTAAAAAAAATCAATAAAATATATTAAAAAAAAAAAAAAAAAAAAGGTCCACACTCACCAGTTAGTAAGTCTGGACCCAGGGCTCCCTCTGGTGGCAGAGGGAGGCCTTGCACTTGAGCCCCAGACAAGCTGGGAGGGAAGAAGTCAACCTGGATGTAGGGTGACCAAGGCAGGTGAAGGAATCCTCACCCCACTCCCAAGTACCCAGTGCACAGAGAGGAGGCTACCCAGGAGGATATTAGAAAACAACTCATGTTACACAACAACAATAGCAACAAACACTTATAAAAACATTTCATCCCGGAGAAAGCCTCCAGGCCTGGGAGGGTGGGGTGTCAGAGCACATGAACAGTCCAGATCTGGGAAGCCCTGTCCTTGGTCGGCTCCCACAGCACCACATGGTCCCGGTCGTAGCCCCGGCCACCTGGGGAGGAGCAAGAGGTGGGGAGATAGATGGTCAGAGCAAGCTGGGGACTCCCCTGCCCGCAGGTGCCTTTTCCCGCACACATCCCCACCTTACCCTTCACATCCAGGATCCGACCTTCAAACATCTGGCTGCAGATGTGGCCCAAGTCGTTGATGCTCCATGTCTGACGGGGCAGGCGGCTCTCGGCCCACAGCACCACCTTGGAGCCTGCGCTGGGGGGCCCGATCACCTGCAGGCTCATGGTGGGGGCCACCTGAGGCCCCAGGAGGTCATCAGGCACTGTTCCTCTCCACAGGGACCCCACCAAAGAAAGACACCCCCGGCACACCCCGCTTTAAATCCTTATGGATTGTGACCCTGGGCAAATCTCTTAATCCTCCTAAACGTTGGTTTCCTTGGAGATGGGAATCCCTGAGTGCTGGTTGTTGTGAGGGTGAGAAATCATAAAAGGGCTGGACAAATATTCATTCCTCCAGGAAACCTTCCACGACTGACTCCCAAAACACAGGCTTTAGCATCAGACAAGCCTCCACAGACACACTGATGGGCTGTGTGACTTTCAGCCACTTGCTTAAATTCTCTGTACTCAGCTTTCCTACCCTGTAAAATGGATAGTAAAATAGAAGCTGCCCATAGTACTCTTTAAGGCAGTGGTTCTCAACCTTCTGGCCCTTTAAATACAGTTCCTCATGCTGTGACCCCAACCATAAAATTATTTTCGTTGCTACTTCATAACGGTAATGTTGCTACTGTTATGAATCGTCATGTAAATATCTGAAATGCAGGATGGTCTTAGGCGACCCCTGTGAAAGGGTCGTTCGACCGCCAAAGGGGTCGCGACCCACAGGTTGAGAACCGCTGCTCTAAGGATTAAAGAGGTGTGCATGTGAAGGGCTTCGCATGGCACCTGGTACATAGTGTTCCCTTTCATTCTAACTCAAAGACAAACCCTTTTAATAGCCTGTAAGGACCTGCACTCCCATACCCTTTCTGATACCATCTGCTACTCCTTTCTCAACTCACTTCACTCTGGTCATTCAGGCGGCCTTGCTGGTCCCAGAAAATGCCAGGCATGTTCCTACCTCAGGGCCTTTGCACTTACAGTTCCTTCTACTTGGAACATTCTTCCCTCAGGTACCTGCATGGCTGCCTCCTTCGAACGTCATCGTCCCAGAAAGGGCTCTCCTTGTCAGAGCTGCCAATATTTCCTATTCCTTTTACTCGTTTATTTTTTCTCTATTGCAGCAATTTTCAACCAGTGTGTCGCAAGAATTTTTAAAACATGCAATACCTGACTATTTAGTCAGGGGCACTGACCTCCTTTCCCTTAGGTTGTCAAATAAAAAATGACAACAGCCAACACAGCAATAGCCGTCTGGTGTGAATGCCCTGTCTTAAACCATAAATATATAGATCATATAATAGAGTTGCATCTTATTGGTCAGGCCACATAATTAGCTTGCCTTCGATTGGCCAATTCTTGATACCAGAAGCCCTTATATACAAGTATAGGCACCTGTGTTGTTGTTTTTTTAAAAGTCACTTTGGAGCAAAAAGGATAGGTAATTACTATTATTATTATTTGTTGGTAAATCAATCAAAATGATATCTATTTTTTGTCAGATCAGCAAAACTTATATTTTTTGGTGTGCCACAGAATTTTAGTAATTAGCTTATGTTGTGCCATGAGATGAAAAAGGTTGAAAATCGCTGTTCTGTTGCATCATCTAAGGTGCTAAAGTATTTTACTCATTTAAGTTGTTTCTGCCACTCCCCAGGAGGATGTACGCTTCAGCAGGGCAAGCGTCATTTCTGTCTTCTCAACGCTGTATTCCCAGCACCTAGAACAAGGCCTGGTACGCAATAGGTGCTCAGGAAATGTTTGTGGAGTGAATCTATCGTTATTACTGGGATCCAAGTTCTGTCACAGGACATCGGAGCTGGGAAGTCCCTTAGTAGCATCTGGTTCAATGCCCTTGTTTTGCAGATGAGGGACCGAGGCCCAGAGAAGAGGCTAAATTGCCCAGGGGTGGATGCACACTGCATTCTCCACTCCCAGGGTCCTGGTGTCTGAGTGTGTGTCTCTCTGACCCCGGGTGGGTCCTGTTACTGGCTGGGCTGGCCCTCCCCACGGTGAGTCTGAGTGCCGGGGGCCCTGGTGTCCCTGTCTCAGCCACCAAACCAGTACCTGGTTCTTCAGCAGCCCATCTTCGTAGTACCAGACGCAGCTACCTCCAGCTCCCGGTTCAGCAACCACCACACGGCCCGCCTTCATGTCTTCCACGTGGTCTGGCACTGCCAGGAACCCCTCCAGTGCCACATTCCAGAGGCGGAAATAAGCCCGGCGCTGGGGAGTGGAGGGAGCTGAGAGTCAGGGCTCCCGAGGCAGAGATGCTCCCCGCTGGGCTCCCAACACCCATAATTCTGGACCCTCCAGTATCCCAACCGCCAAAGCCCTCATTCCTGCCCCTAAGCCACCCTTGGCCCTCCTTGAAGTCTCCCCTTGTTTCCCACACAAATTCCAAAGCCCCATCCGGAGCACACATCCACACCCATACAGTCCCATGTCCACAGACACCCACAGACGTGTGCAGAGGGACACGCTGGCAGACACACCCAAGGTCCACGTGGTTGCACAGAAGTTTGCAGCAGAGACAAACACACAGATACTCAGAGCCAGGCAGACTCACACATCCCAACCGATGCAGGGGTCCCCCAGCCTACTCCGCACCGGGCACTTGTGTTTGCTAACAGGATGGATGCATGTAGGTCTTCAGACGTGCACACACGCCCCCACTAAAGAGGAACCATGGGCGGCAGACACTGCCCTGTCAGTTATCAGGTCAGGCTCTGCCTCAAATCGGCGGGGACCTCGGATATTGGTGATGGCCGTGACAGTAATGAGAATCACAGCTAGTGTCTGTTGGGTGTTTACCCACTCAAGCACTGTACTAAGGACTTAACATACATTATTTTTCTTCAGTCCTCAAACCAACTCCATCGTATGCATGACCCCCATTTTAAAGATGAGGAAGCTGAGGTCCATGGAAGTACAGTACTTGCCCAAGATTGCAGAGCAAATCCTTGTCCACTTCTCTGGGCCTTTCTTTCCCCACCTGTAAAATGCGGGCGTTGGAGATAGTCTCCGGATTTCTTCTAGCACTGGCGTTCTAAGAGTCTGCGAACGTGGGGACCACACAATATCCTCGCACAAAGACACGCGCACTCTCAACAGTGCCACAGGCACGTGTAGTCATAAACACACACACCACAGGTCACCGACACAGACACATGGTCACAAATGACTGCACAGACACAGAAACCCCCTCAGACAGCACATGCACACACACACAGAACCCAGGGCCACGCCTCCGCATTAACGCACATGTAAGAAATCAGACACATGGCCAGACATGTGGAATCAGTGCTGCCCAAAGTGAGGTGTGCTTACTACATGAGATAATTTTTAGTCCTACATGGATACACTTACGGTTAAAAATTTAATGGCAGCCCTAGCTGGTTTGGCTCAGTGGATAGAGCTTCAGCCAGCAGACTAAAGGGTCCCGGGTTCGACTCCGGTCAAGGGCACATGCCCAGGTTGCGGGCTCAATCCCGTCGGGGGCGTACAGGAGGCAGCCGATCAATGATTCTTTCTCATCATTGATGTTTCTATCTCTCTCTCCCTCTCCCTTCCTCTCTGAAATCAATAAAAATATATTCTAAAAAAAATTTAATGGCAGTAAAAAAATTTTTAGTGGTAATGTATTTATTATATTAGGAAAAATCATCTATCCACATCAAACTCATGATTTTATGACTATTATTTCTTAGGATAAGGATAGAGTAGGAAAAAATGGTGCTGATTTAGAAAAAAATATTAAATAGATAATAGTTCAAGAGGAAGGACGATGTGGCGAAATTGTGACAAAAGCACACAAATGCTGAGTGTGGGAAATACACAGATAGACACACCCCAGACAGGCCGTCATGGACACACTCAACCTGACGTGCTACCCACCTGCTTGATGGGGTAGAGGGAGCCCACCCTCTGGGTCCCGCTGTAGGTCAGCCAGTTCGTGATCTCGCAACTGCCCACCAGCCACTGGCGGCCCCGGAAGTCGCTGTGTTCACACAGCACCCAGCTGGGCCCAGCAAGTGCCAGAGACAGACAGACAGACAGACAGACAGACAGACAGACAGAAAGGTGGAGGAGAAGGCACGAATGTCAGAACTTTCTCCACCTCCCTTCCTCTGCTGCTGGGACTCCTCTGCCTGGGGTTAGAGAGAGGGAGGCTGGGAAGTAGATTGAGGTTTGCAGGGCAGAGGAAGGTCCTGAAGAGCCCCTTCCCCCCTGGGCTGGGGTCCCAGCCTGAGAATCAATGACCCTCCTCAATCCACCTCTCCCTCCCTCCTGGCTGGGAGGGAGCCCACCCTCTGAGTCCCCTCAGGGAAGACACCTGGAACCAGCCTTCACTTACTAACAGCCCCCAGCCCTCTGTGCCTCCCCGCAACCCACTCACGTGCCCCCCTGGATCCGCACGGACAGCACGTGGTTGTTGAAACCCTCGGCTTGCAGACTCCGCACCTCTCCATTGAGCTCAATCTCCTTCCCCTCGAAGCACTCCAGTCCGTACAGGAAAATGGAGGGCTCTGAAAAGTGCTGGGGGTCCGGGGCATTGGGAAGGGTTGAAACCATGGCAGCCCTGGCCCCAGACTCAGCCCCTTGACTCCCAGGTGGGTACTCAGGCCTTCTTCCCTCCTGAGCTGCACCCCACAGGGCTCCTGACTCCTGCACACTGCTGGACTCTCAGATACAGCACGTGCCAGACTAGGCCCCCCAATGCCCCTCAGCCCTTCTCCCCAGTAAATGGCACTTCTAAGAATAGTATACTAATAATACTGGTAATTACAGTAGTTCTCATATATTTGAGGCTTATCCCAGATTCTGTGCTAAGCACGTTACCTGATCTCATTCTAACTTCTCAACAACCCTGTAAGGTAGGTGCTGCTATCATCCCTGCTTAGCAGAGGGGAAACTGAGGCTGGAGAAGATTAAACCCCCGAAGCTGGGCTTCAGAACCAGGACTATCTGCCTTCAGAGCCCAGATAGTAGTTGTAAAGAACTTGGACTCAGGAGCTGGGCTGCCTCAGGGAGAACCTGGCTCTGCCTGTGACCAGCCGTGTGACCTGGAGCAAGTCACATGACCTCAGTGTGCCTCAGTTTTCACATCTGGAAAAGGGAGATGGGAATAGTAACAAACCGTATAGGGTTGTGGTGAGGACTGAATACCTTAGTATAGAGTATATGGAGAACCTTTAAAAAAATTATACATATATATAATTTCAGAGAGGAAGGGAGAGAGAGATATAGAAACATCAATGCTGAGAGAGAATCATTGATCAGCTGCCTCCTGCACAGCCCACACTGGGGATCGAGCCCACAACCTGGGCATGTGCCCTGATTGGGAATCGAACCGTGACTTCCTTGTCCATAGGTTGACGCTCAACCACTGCGCCACGCCGGCCAGCTGAAAAGCCTTTTTTAAAGCCGGGAGCACGGGCTTTGCGCATGGTGTGTGCTCAGTGAACCTCAGCTGCTCGGCCCGTGCAGCCACGGCTGGCCCACCCCGGCTGGTCACCAAGTCCTACAGGCTGAGCTCTTTAATGGGGCCCATGTCACTTCTCTCCATCTGGTCCAGGACATCATGACTTATTCTGGCTCACTGTCTTGACCCAGCCCTGTCTTATAACAGTCTTGTAACAGTATTATACTGTCTTAAGCCCACTGCCTTGACCCACCCCTGTCTTATAACAGTCTTGTAACAGTATTATACTGTCTTAAGCCCACTGCCTTGACCCACCCCTCTGCTCCCCGCACGACAGCAGAGCCATCTTGTGACCCTGGGTTTCTTGAAGGTGGGGCTGTGCCCGAGTCATGTCATTGTTCCCAGGACCTATCTTGGCAGGTACGCGATAAATCTCTAGTAAGTTGAACGGGCTTTGAAGCCCTTGGGTTAGGGGGACCCGGGGAAGTTCTGGGGAAGACAGGATCCAAGCCCCAGCAGCCCACTGCACAGTGAGAAGAGGCCTGGGACACCCCCAGCAGCACCCCCTGCCTCAGGGACTGCCTGGAACTGGACAGGGGTACTCACCAGGGGTACCTTCCTGAGCGAGCCCAGGACTGTGGAGGCCAGACAGCCCATGGCTGTGAGAGTGGGGAACTCGCCCTCGGAGAGAATGTGCTGGTCACCCTCAAAGTTCTTCTCATCAAACAGGATCCAGCTGGGGAGGGGGAAGTGGGGACATGAGTGGGTGGGGATTTGAGCCTGCCCAGGCCCCGGGATACGGCAGGGTAGATGCAGACTTGATCATGACCCCCTGACCCAGGGGAAGCCAAGGATGAACAGGCACTGCAGCAGCAGAGACTAAGGTCAGACTTTAAAAGGGACTGACTGAAGGTATGCTGCCCCCAAGAAGGGAAAGTTGGTAACATCAAGCAAAACCATACATACAATTAGTCAGTAATCTTATCTCTTGGAATCAATCCAAGGACCCCCTCCAAAAACATAAAATGACACATGCACACACGACCACTCATTACAGCACTGTTTGCAATGGCAAAAAGTGGAGGCAGCCCAAATGTCCATCAGTAGGGGATTGGTTGAATACACTAAGAATGTGGAGTAGAGCCCTAGCCAGTTTGGCTCAGTGGATAGAGCGTCAGCCTATGGACTGAAGGGTCCCAGGTTCAATTCCGGTCAAGGGCACATGCGGACTTAATCCCCAGTGTGGGGCATGTGGGGGCAGCCAATCAATGATTCTCTCTCATCATTGATGTTTCTCTCTCTCTCCCTCTTCCTTCCTCTCTGAAATCAATTTTAAAAAAAGAAAAGAATGTGGAGTATAATATAGCAGTAAAAAGGAATGAGGATGATCTCTTAAAGATATATAAAGTGATTTAGAAAGTTTTACATAATTTTATGAATGTATATTTACTTATATCTTCAAAATGAAACAATGAATGAGTAAACTAAACACCAAAAATAATCTTCTATAGGGGAGGGAGGGGAAAAGGTGGCAGGGACAGAGACAGAAGCTGATGTCTTTTTTTTGTTCTTGTTGTTTTTTAAAGATATTTAAATGTAGCCCTGCCTGTGTAGCTTAGTGGTTGAACGTGGAACCAAGAGACCATCAGTCAGGGTACATGCCCAGGTTGCGGGCTCCATCCCCTGTGGGGGGCATGCAGGAGGCAGCTGATTGATGAAGTTTCTCTCTCATTGATGTTTCTATCTCTCTATCCCACTCCCTTCCGCTCTCTCTAAAAAATCAATAAAGTATTTTTTTTTAAAGATATTTAAATATATATTTATTAATTTCAGAGAGAAAGGACAGGAACATTGTAAAAATTTTGTGTAATTAAAAACAATTAAATAAAAATGAAAAATATTCCTAAAGATTAAAATAAATATAAAATAAATGAACCTAACTTTATATCAGAAAATCCACACATGATTTCAGATGTCTTAAAAATACAATATTTTGTACATGCCGAATGGGATACAGGTGAATGTCCTGAGGACAAAAAGAACCACATAGAAACCTCAAACAGCATTCACTGTTTTTTACTGTTAGTAGTAATATTAATATTATAATATTATAATTTTAAAACATTTAGCATGCAGATTTTGGTCTCTAAATAGTATTTCCTACTAAAAGGAGCCAGAGTTCCTTGGGAAATGGCTGATTCCAAATTGGGGGAGGGGGAGGAAGGCAAAATTACCCTGGAGCATCTTATTGTATCAGAAAAACAAGGAAGTTATTTTTTAAAAAAAAACTATTGGGATCATATGAAAAGAACCCAGGAGGCCATTTGTAGGGGTTCCCGTTTGCCAGAAATGAAACAATTTTAGCAGACAAAAGAACAGTGACTCCAATGGATTGAAGTGTTTCAAATACATAAAAATCCATGAGTTCACAGCGATACTTTAAAAAAAAGCTTCATTGGTCAGCTTTGGAGGTTGCTAGGGTACCAATTCAGAAATTATTTTGAAAATTTATCAAGAGAAAGGGGCGAACATTCTTCCTTGAGGAAAATCAAACTGCCTTTTTTTGTATAGGTAAACAAATAGACGAAAAGGGAAATTCTTTGTATTCCAGCTAAAATATGTAGAAAGCATAACAAAAATTAAAAAATCATCATTTTGGCCCTAACTGGTTTGGTTCAGTGGTTAGAGCATTGGCCCATGGACTGAAGGGTCTCGGGTTCAATTCCAGTAAAGGGCACATACCTCAGTTGGAGGCTAGATCCCCTCTGGGGCTCGTGCAGGAGGCAACCAATTGATGTGTCTCTCTCACATGATGTTCTTCTCTCTCTGTCTTTCGCCCTCCCCTCCACTCTCTCTAAAATTCAACTGGGGGGGGGGGTATATCCTAGGATGAGGATTAACAAAAAAGAAAAACATCATTTTGTAACTTCTAAAGAAGTAATGGATCTAGGCAATTATCATCAATGGATACTAAAACCATTAGGTGAATGGGAAATGGGAAATCTCATGATGTTGGGATCTTAATATCTTTACAAGTGGGATAAGCAGCCCTAGCCAGTTTGGCTCAGTGGATAGAACATCAGGCTGTGGCCCAAAGGGTCCCGAGCTCAACTCCCATGAAGGGTATGTACCTCGGTTTCGGGCTCCTCCCCGGTCTGGGCCCTGGTCAGGGCTCGTACAGGAGGCAACCAATCGATGTGAGAGAAACACATCGATGTTTCTCTCTATCTTTCCCTCTCCCACTCTCGGGTGAGAATTTAGAAAAAAGAAAAAAAAGTGGGACAAGCAGACACAGGTCTCCTGATGCTATGCAATGAGAAGTACACAAGGCCATCTAACATCCTCAATCTCATCAAGCCTCCCTATCTGCCAGTTTACAGGAAATGTGCTTCACAGAGGAACAAGTTAAAAGACACCCTGAGGAAGCAATCAGCCAAATACAGATGATAGGAAACGTTCAGGGCAAATTAAGGGTTTTTTTCTAACAAATAAATGATATAAAACAAAATGAAGAGGAGGGGGTTTGTTATACACTAGAGACCAAATTGACCCAATGCAGTGTGTGGATCCTGTTTGGATCCTGAGAAAAACAAACCAAGTTTAACAAGCATTGTTTGAGACGACAGGAGAAATTTAAACATGGACTGGGTATTAGATATTAATTATTGTTAATTTTATTAGATGCTATAATAACTTGTGGTTATATGCGTGTATGAGGTAGGGGTCCTTTCTTATTAGAGGTACATGTGGAAGTATTTACCTGTGAAATTTTATGTTGGGCCTGGAATTTTAAATACCCCACTAAAAAAAAAGGCAGAGGGACGGATGAAACAAGATTGGGGTTCTTTATACTGTACTAACTAGTAGTTTTACATTTCCATTAAAACTTCATTTCGCTTTGTTTAAGATTGAATGCTTTGGGACAGAATAGCTAATTTTAAGGAAGTCAGAATAAGGACATCATCCTATATAATAAAAGCCTAATATGCTAAGTGTCCAGTTGTCTGTTCAACCAATCAAAGCATAATATGCTAATGATATACTAAGGCCATTCAACCACTTGCAATGATGTGCACTGACCACCAGGGGGCAGATGCTCCAACTGGTAGGTTAGCTTGCTACTGGGGTCTGGCTGATCAGGACTGAGCAAGACAGGCCAGACACGCCCTGGAGCCCTCTCGCGGTCCCTCCCCAGCTGGCCAACCTCCCACATCTCTCCCTGGCTCCAATAGTGCACTGGTGGGGTCCCTCAGCCTGGCCTGTGCCCTCTCACAATCCAGGATCCCTTGGGGGATGTTGGAGAGCTGGTTTTGGCCCAATCCCGCAGGCCAGGCCGAGGAACCCCACTGGTGCACAAATTCATGCACCAGACCTCTAGTTTGAAATAAAGGCCCTCTTCCTGCAGCCTGGATTTCCAAACTGAGTGAAACGCTTCAGGGCAGGTTCGTCCTGTCTCTGACTCCGCACTCACCCCCGGCACCTCCAAGCCTCCTCCCTCACCCTCTCCTACATCCTCACCTGCCACCGTGCACTCGGCAGGACTGGGGCTGGAAAGAGGCGGGCAGAGATGCCTGGTCATCCTCGAAGGAGATGTGGTCTCCCAGGAAGTCGGGGCCCGAGAAAAGCTGAATCTGAGGGCAGAGACGGGAATAGAGGAGAGTGAAGGAGGGGCGATGGAGTGAGCGGATTGAAGGGGGAACAGGGAGAGAGATTTGCATTGAGGGGAGAGGAGGCTTAGGGCCCCACCAGCTCCTCACCTTAGAGATAAAGTGCAGATTTTGCTCCTCGACCTGAAGGGAGAGACCAAAGTTTCAGAGCTTAAGGAGGGTACCAGCCGCTACCCTCAGTGCCTCTGGTTTCAAAACCCCCAACACCAGCTGGGCTAGCGTGGCTCAGTGGTTGAGTGTCAACCTATGAACCAGGAGTTCATGGTTGGATTCCTCGTCAGGGCACATGCCTGGGTTGTGGGCTCCATTCCCAGTGTGGGGCATGCAGGAGGCAGCCGATCAATGATTCTCTCTCATTGTTGATGTCTCTATCTCTCTCTCCCTCTCCCTTCCTCTCTCAAATCAATGAAAATAAAAAAATAAAATAAATTCCCAAACCCAGCCTTAGCTCTCCCAAGTTTGAATCTGCATTAGCCCCGCCCTCCTCCGGGGCCTCGCCCCCTCCGCGCAGCTCCGAGCAGGGTCCCTCCGGAGCCAGAGCTGAGGTGGGCGCCTCCCAGACTCCAAGCACCACACTCCCAGGGGCCCCAGACCCCAAGCACCACCCTCCCAGGGGCCCGGCCTTCGGCCACCGCAACGCACCTGCAGCACCGGCTGAAGCGAGGCGAGGGCGCTGTTGCCCGCGCCCCAGTCGTCGCAGTTGCGGTACACGCCCTTCTCCAGCACGTACTGCTCCCCGGAGAAGCCCGCCTCCTGATAGGCCACCCACCTGCAGAGGGGCGGGGCGCGGGATCAGCGGGGCGGGGCCGACCTCCGCTGGGCCCGCCCCCGGCCCGCCCGCTGTCACTCACACGCCGCTGAGCACGTGGATCGCCTGAGTGTGCGGGCCGTGTCCCGCCAGCTCCACGTCCGGCAGCGCCTCGCTCACCTCTGCGCTGTGCCCCTCGAAGTCCACGGCCTCAAACAGCACCACGGCCGGGTCCGCGAAGTCCTGGGCCCCCGGGACAGTCAGGCGTCTCCCGCACCCCCCCCCCCCCCACTTAACCCCCCGGGAGTGACCAGACCTCAGGGAGGCGACCCAAGGGACTTTGGGGCGAGGTGGCCAGTGTGGCCTGGGGAAAAGCAGCAGGAGGGAGAGAACTGGACCTGGGAACACTGCAGGCGCTCCGGAGAGCAGGGAGATGGAACATGGATTCTTCTCTCAACAAATTGAAGGGGGGGGGGGGGCAGGGAGGGTCAGTGGGGAGGGTATGGCTGTGGCTGGAAGCAGAGGGATGGCCCAGTTGCCCTTGCTTACCGTCCGGATGACCCGCAGGGAGGTCAGCGCCTCGTCATAGCCTCCCCAGTGTGACCAGTCAGGGTATTCCCCCTCCTCCAGCAGATACTGGTGGCCCCGGAAGCCTTCCTTCTCATAGCCAACCCAGCTTGGGGCGGGCAGAGGCAGACAGGCAGACAGTCACAGGAGGCCCCTGGATGTGTAAGACAGCTGCCCCCACTCCCAGGCCGCCCAGATCACTCCCCCCTCCCAGGGCAGAGGCCAGCGGGGAGGATAAGGTAGAAGGAAGGGTCCCGGGTCCTCACCAGCCTCCAAGAACTCGCAGGGACCCCACAGAGGCCAGGTGGGGGCTGTGGCTGTCCTCCGGCTGCTGGAGGTTGTAGATGTCTCGGCTCACTTCCCAGCTCTGGCCTTGAAAGCCTGGGGCCTCATACACCACAGCCTGGGGGAACAGGATGGTGGTGTCGGTGTGGGGAGGGATCTGGACCCAAACACACCCAGCCAGCCCAGGAGGGCTCTGCCCAGCACCAGCCCCTAGCCAGGCCCTCTCACGCCCTCACGGAGCTCCAGGCCCTAACTCCCATCTCTTCTCTGACCTCTGACCTGGTTCTTACACATCAAAAGCCATTTCCCAGTGAATCCATCAGGTTCCGTCCTCCAAGCCCCAGCTTGTGGCTCCCAGGACCCTCCTCTCCTGTCCTCCAGTTCAGGCCACAATAGCCACCACACACATACACAGAACCCACCCAAAGGCCCTTTTAGACCCAGAAACCCAGACTCTTACCTTGGGCTCCCCTGGCTTCTCCACTCTTGGGCAGCCCTGCAGAAGAGACAGAGCTGAGCCACCAGCCCAGAGGTGGGGGAAGGCAGATGGGGCTGGTGGCCTAAGATTTACTTGATCCTGAGGCTCCTAAAAATGGCCAACCCCCCACCTCTTGGGGTAATCCCACCTCTCCTCCGATCCCATTCCCAGTAGGAGCTCCCAGGCCCTGCCTCTTCCCTCAGACTGCAGGACAAGGCCACTTGGGGCCACCTATTCCTTACCAAACTCAGGGGTTTCAAGGAGCCCACGCTGGGGTCTGATGCACCCCAGTCCTTAGAGGTGGGGTACTCTCCAGGCTCCAGGATGCAGGGAGTGTCTTCAAAGAAGGGTTTGGGGTACAGCAGCCACCTGGGGGAGGCAGAGAGGTGGCTGAACCCCAGATACCCAGGGATACAGGCTGGTGGGTGGGAGGGAAGGTTCAGAGAGAAGGAGGTTTTGAGGGAGAGGCCTCTGTCAAGGGGATTCTGGAGGACACTCAGGCCCCCATCATCCCGAGCAGCAGCCGCTCCATCAGTGCCCCTTCCTCTGGCCTGGCCCTCCCTGCCTTCACACAGCAGCCAGAGAGTTCTTTCTCATGCGCAGACCTGCTTAAAGGTCCCCCGTAATGTCCTGTTGGCCTCACAACACAATCCAGCTGCACAAAGAGGCCCTTCGGTCTGTCCCCTGCCTTCCTCCTGGGCCTCACATCTCCCCGTTTGCTGCTTCCTCCCCGTTTGCTGCTGACCAGACTGAATTTTCAAAGCTGAGATCTCTCGCCTCTGGGCCTTTGCAAGTGTTGTTCCCGTTTCTAGAGATACTCTTCCCCTGTTCATTCAATCAACAAATATTTAGGGGCCTCTATCCCATGCCAGGCTCTGCTTCAGGCAGGAAGGACTCTGAGCAAACTATACACGCACAACCCCTGCCCTCAGGGACCTATTCTTCCTGGCCAACTCCTCCCAGCGAGGCATCCCCTCCTCCAGGAAGGCTTCCGTGACTTCAGGCTGGTGCGGTGCTTTTCTGTGCTCCCACAGCTCCGTGCTCCCCCTCCTGGAACCCTGAACTGCCGCTCTCTGCTTATTTCCCTGTCCCCACCAGTAGAGTGAGCACTTCTTGAGGCCAGGAACGGTCTCCTTTTGCTTATGTGTCCCCAGCACCCAGCACAGCGAATGGTAAATGGAGGGATTCCAGAACAGCCCAGACTCACAGTCCTGCAGAGACAGTGGCAGATGCCACCTGCAGGGGCCTCTTCAGGCTATGGGGGTCCTCCAAGGCCTGGGTTAGCTTCACGTGCTCCCCCTTGAGGCCCTCCTCGGAGTACAGGCTGATCTCTGGGGTAATGTAGTCCTGCAGAAGAGGGGTGGAAAAATGAAGTGTAAAGCGCCACCCCTCAGAGACTACCCCCTTCTGTACCTGCTTCCCCAAGTCTGCCCAGCCGGGGCTCCGGGGGGCTTCTGGGAAAACTTTGTGACTGTCTCCCAGAAGCCAGGAGATAGACTGGGATGTATTCTTAAGGTTGACCAGACAACCCAAGACCAAAGCCCATGCTGGTCCCGCCCTGAACCTTGGGTATCTGAGACCAAAGTTCTCAGCAAGAGCCTGCCAAGTGCCATTGCCCTCCGCCTTCCCTCTGGTAACCCGGCTTCCAGCTGGTGGAGGGGTAGACGAGTTGGACAGCTGCTTCTGGAGGTCTAACTTTGACCATTCTTTTATGTACGATCCCTGCCTCTGTTCAGACCTGGAATACACTGAGTGTTCAATGCTGGATTAATCAAAGGAATCCAGGTCCACCTGACTTCAAAGCCCCTGTTTTTCTCTTGTACCTCATTACCTCCCACACAATGATGACTTTATTGTGAGAAGATCACAATAAACTGTCCACAAACATTTCTGTGTTTCTGGAGAGGCTTTGAAAACACCCCTCCTTTGCATGGTTGGGCTACTGCCCTAGTTAAGAATCATCAGCTCTCGTATTCTCTTACCAGGAGGGCTGCAACAGCTCTGGACTCAGAGTTATTCCTCCTCTCATTAAAAATGAAACAAAACAGCCCAGTGGGCGTGGCTCAGTGGTTGAGCATCGATCTATGAACCAGGAGGTCATGGTTCAATTCCCACTCAGGTCACGATCCCCAGTAGGAGGTGTGCAGGAGGCAGCCAATCAATGATTCTCTCTCATCATTGATGTTTCTCTCCCTCTCCCTTCTTATCTGAAATCAATAAAAATATTTTTTAAAACAAAACAAACATCTGATTGGCCCTGCTTTCTCTTCTGGTTCTCCCTAGCAGCCAAGATGGTTCTGTCAAACTTAATTTTGGTAGTTTGTAGACTACCACTTCACAAATATGAAACTGTAATATTGACTATGCCTTTACAAACCACACCCCCCTCCCTCAAAATTCAGAAGTGCTCCTCAGCTGGAAATCACTGCCCTTCCTGGTCTTCCTGCCTCTGGGATCCCCATCCAGTCTCTTTTCCTGGCAGCCAGAGGGGTGTTTATAAACTGCTAATCTGATTATATGGTTTTCCTGCTTCGAACCCCACCCTGAGACCCTAGCCTGACCCTGAGTCCTGCAGGGCAGAGGTCAGTCTCCTCCAGCCTTCACTGCCTGGCCTGGTGGCTGGCACACAGCAGACATTATGAAGCGTGCTTGAGCCAATGAATGAACAGTCGTCCAAGGCACCTTGGGTCTTACTGTGGGCCTAAGAGCCCTGGGCTCTGAGGGGAGGGGAGCACCCATATCCACCCCACCTGTTTCTGCTATTCTAGCGAGTCCTTCTCCAGAGGCAGCTCAAACTTCCTCAGGCTGCTTTCCCACGCTGGGGCTTGGCCCCTGCCTGCCCCTGCCTCCCCAAGCCAGGCTAGCACTCCCCAGTTGGCTCCAAGGTCTGGAATCTATAGGCAAGTCCATAATAAACCCCCTCTGCCCCCTACCCAGCACGAGTTGGAATCTCTGTCCCTGAGATTCCAACTCCCTCCTCACGGCCCGGGGCCCAGGGGGACAGGGCAGCATCTGGCTCCCAACCCCAGCCCGCTCACCCGGACGGCTCTCCTGAGGGAGCCGATGCTGTGGATACTCCACACGGGCCCCGCGGCTTTGAGCTCCACATCTCCTTCAGGCAGGACCAGCTTCCGGCCCCGGAACTCTGGCTCTTCATACAGCGCCCAGCTGTGGGCAGAGACCCAGGGTCACTGGGTTGGAGAGGATGTGCCCACCAGGCAGCATCTCTGGGTAGCTCAGGGGGGTTCTGCCAGGTTGGCCCGGGCACTTCTCGCTGTGCTTGCTGCCCCCGGTTCCCAGCACTCTGCACTCACCAGCCTCGGACCACTCTGATGGAGGCCACGGGGGCCCAGCTAGAGGCATCAGCAATGTCTTCCCAAACCTCCCTGCTGCTTCCTTGGCAGCCGGGCTCTGAGAAGAGGACCACCTGGACAAAACGCAGAGGGGCGTCCTCAGGCTCTGTTTTGAGCTCCCGCCTCCTGCTGCCCCTCCCACACACTTGCCCTCCACCACCTACCTTTCCTGGCCTGGTGTTCAGCTTGCCCTGGGTCTTCGATGCCGGGCTCTGGAAGGGAGGCAGTGATAAGAAGTCTAATGGGTTGCCTGCTTACTGCCTCCCACATCCTCCCTGTTAGCCTCCACCCCCACAGAGGGCACCACACTTGTCCCAACCCACCCTGTCCAGGAGCTGGCCCCCTATCACTCCCCTTCTCCGGCTTCCAAGAGATTGGAGCCATTAAGGTCTTTGGAATCGACCATGCAAACTTCCTCTGTTTGGACAGGGAAACCGAGGCCCAGAGAGACGTGTCTTGCACAGGATCACACCAAGCCATACCTCAGGCCCAAACTTCTGCAGCTGAAGACTCTGCCTCCTAGTACCATGGTCCTCATGCCATCCAAACCCTGGTGAGGCCTGGCACCCTCCCTGGCCACCCACGGCCTCACTCACCCAGCCCTCAGGGGGCCTGGCGCACGGGGGCTTCTCTGGCGGCGACCTGTCACTGCAGAGCAGGGGCAGCTGTCCCGGCACCTTTCTGAGTCCTGGTGCCCCATGGGGAGGCAGAGCGGATAGTTTTGTGCCTAGTGATTCCGAGGTGGGGGCCTCCTTGGTGGCAGACACCATACCCCCAAAGAAAAGACTGCCTTCAAGACGGGAGGTGGGCCTCGTGCCCGCCTGCCGCTCTGGCCCTGGCTCCGGCTGGGAGCCCTTGGCGTCTGTGACATGCTTCTTCATCATCTCCAGAGGCGAGTAAGAGGCCTGGGGGGGCCTGGGAGGGAGGAAGTCCCAGGAGGGCCCGGGCCCAGCTTTCTCCTGCCTGCGCTGAAGCTTCTCATCATCACTCAGGTAGGGGTTCTCTGGCTGCTCCTCCTCCTCCTCCTCCTCTTCCTCTTCCTCCTCTTCCTCCTTTCCTTCCAGTGCTGGCACCTCCTGGGGGCTGGGTCCCAGCACCCAAGGCCTGGGCTGGTCCTCCTCGATAGGAGGCAGCGTGGCGTACATGGCCAGGTAGGAGGAGCGGGGGGCTCGCGGCAGCCGGTGGGTGCGGAGGATCTCAGGGGGCTCCATGCTCCGCAGGGTGTCCAGGAACATCTCCAGGTCAGCCGCCAGGACCAGCTCCTCCTCCTCCCTCGATGGGTCCGGGAGCATCTTGTCTTCAGTGGGGCCAGGGATAAGCCGGGGCTCTTGGCTGGCCTCTGCTTCCATTGGCTCTGGGGCAGAGGGGCCTCCTGGGCTGGGGAGCACCTTGCCCACTGGGGAGGAGGGAGCAGGGAGAACAGCAGGACCCTGGACAACGTTTTTTTGGGTGGGAGATGAGACGGGGCTCCCTTCAGAGCCCTGGACAGCCTTATCCTCCTGGGGGGATGGGATAGCAGGAGCAATCAGGCCCTGAGCAGACTCTTCCTTGGTGAGGGAAGCGCCAAAGCTGCCTTCACTAACCTGGACAACCTCCTTTTGGGTGCTAGGCCTGTCTTCCGGGCCCTGGACAACCTTGGTTGGTTTGGGGGATGCGGCAGCAGGAGCACTAGGAGCCTGCACAACCTCTTTCTGGGTGGGGGAGGGGTCCGCAGGAGCATCAGGGCCCTGCACTATGTCTTTCTGGGTGAGGGAGAAGATAGGAACATTTTCAGGGTCCTGAACAACCTTATTCCTTGGGGAAGATGGAGCAGAAAGATTGTCTGGGCTAGAGACAGCCTTTCTTCTTGTAGGGGATGGGGGTTCTCCAGGGACTGTAACAACCTCACTCCTTACCCTGGGCATGATGGTGGCAGCAGGGGTATCTGTGAGCTCTTCCCTTTTCACAGAGGGCAGGGCCTGGGGTCCCCTGGGATCCAGAGCAGGCTGGGCCCTGGGGTGAGTGGGCACCACAGACTGCTCAGGAAGGTGGTCTAGGCCCAGGGAGGGGGCATGGATCTGGATTCTGGGAGAAGAGGGTACTAAGGCGTGGCCCTGAGAGGTGTGGAGAGGGAGCTGGGTGGGGTTGGAGGCTCCCTGCACCCTTGGGACCTTATGGGCCTTGGCACCCAGAGCTTGGCCCTGGTCTTGGTCTGGATGGGCTGCAGGGGCCTCTTGGTTCTGAGGTGGGTGAGCACGCTCAGGGATGCCTGCAGGGGCCAGGGCAGATCTGCCTTTTGGCTCTGTTGTCCCCGTCTCAGGCAGCTGCCCCAGGGCTGTGCCCTCTGTACTGCCCAGACCTGGACTCCTTGACACAGAAGCCATGGGCCTGGAAAGCCGGCTACTGAGCAGTTCCAGGGCCTGACTGCGGCTGGGCGAGCCCTCAGGCTTGTGGCCCACCACCACTGCCCGGACAGCATGGCGGCCCCGTGGCAGGGCCTCGCCCGGGAGCACTGGCTCCAAGGTCACAGAGCTGGTCACCCTTCGGTCCACATGCCCGCCTACCACCACAGTGGTCCGCACGGTGCGTGTCACCTGCCGCTCCTCACGGTTCACACATGGGTGGGGGCTCGGCTCACGGGGCCCCGGCAGGGGCACCAAGAGCTCCGTCCTGGCCATGGCTCCCAGGCGTGATGGCTCCGTCCTAGGGTCTTGGGAGCTGCCATCTCCCTGGTCCACAGCCTCTTTCAGCCTCCTCACCAGCCTTTTCTCCTTGGGGGGTAGTGTGTACTTCTTGGAAAAGATGGGCCCATGGCTCTGGCAGCTCTTGGAACCAGCCCCAACCGGGGGGGCTTGATGATTCACAGTCTCTTCTCTCCTTGCAGCGAAGCCATTGACTTTCTCTCCACGGGGGCTGTACTCAAACATCTCCTCCTGGGGGGCTTCCATCCGGGCGTCCGACACCAGGGACACCTTGTGAAAGTGATGTCTCACCTCTTCCTTGGCAGGGGGCCGCTGTCGCCACGTCAGCCTGGCACTCACCACCCGGGCCTCGGCCCGAGCTGGGGGCCCACCTGCCTCCTCCATGCTGGGCCCCAGCAACCTGTCCTGAAGTGTCCTTGGCTCCCTGTGGCCCAGCTCCCTGCAGATGGTGCCAGGAAAAAGAGAGACAGGGTCAAGGGTGTGCGGGTGGCTCTCTGTAGTACAGAATAACTACCTCTGCCAAGGTCAGGCTGGGTACCCTCAGGCAAGTCACGTGACCTTTTGGACCTTTGTTTCTTCATCTGTAAAATGGGCATAATGCTCTCAGCCCTCTCCCCACTTTCAGGTGATCCCCTATGCCACCGTCCTTCCATGGGTGAAGCTGTGGCCTGAGCCTGGATGGAGAGAAAGGCATATGGTCTGACCCACTGGTCTATGGATGGGGCTGGGACTCTAGTCCTCCAGGAGCTCCAAACTGGAAAACCAGAAAGCTAAAAACTAGGCAATTGTTCTGACCCTGTTCCTGCCATTGGAAGGGAAGGGAAGGGAAGGGAAGGAAAGGGAAGGGAAGGGAAGGGAAGGCAAGGGAAGGCAAGGGAAGGCAAGGCAAGGGAAGGGAAGGCAAGGGAAGGCAAGGGAAGGCAAGGGAAGGCAAGGGAAGACGGACTTTGGCCTTGAGCAGAGCTGGGTTTACCCTGGCTCTGCCACTCACTAGCTAGATCACCTCGAGTGGCCACTCTTCCCCTTCAGGTATCAGGGCTCCAAGCCACAAAACCTATAATAATAAAAGTGTAATATGCTAATCAGACCAGACGTCCTTCCAGACGAAGCTGAGGTTGAGAGGGAAGCCCTGGTCCCGGGTGCCAGAGGGAAGCCAGTACCGGCAGCCGGGAGAAGGACGGCCTACTCTTGCACAAATTTCATGCATCAGGCCTCTAGTGTTATAATAAGAGTATGTGCTTCATAGGGTTATTGTCAGGATAAAATAAGAGAGAAAGAACAAAAACTCATCTCATAAACTAAAATGCTGGCTCACAAACTTCGCGGTGTCCCCTGGGAGGACTGTGAGCAAACACCAGCAGGTGTGCGTGTGTGTACTAGCACCAGCATGTGGCGTGACCTTCTGGTACATCTGTGGGTCTTAGTGAAACTCCTCGGGACCCAGCACTTTGGACCTGCATGCACTTTCCCTCCATGTTCTCCTCTATGAGTGCTTCCCCCATCGTACAGATGAAGAAACCCAGGGCCAGAGAAGAGGAGTGACTGGTCCAGGGTGATGCACCTGCAAAATTGCAAGCTGAGGTTTGAAGTCATAGCTAAGTCCATGACTAGGCATCTTCCCTCCTGGCCCCGAGGCCAAGGCTCTGAGCACGTCCGGCTGTGCCTACGGTCCTCTCCCGCAGAGCACATCTTACCTTCCCTCTTTTTTTTTTTTTAATATTTTATTGATGTTTTTACAGAGAGGAAGGGAGAGGGATAGAGAGCTAGAAACATCGATCAGAGAGAAACATCGATCGGCTGCCTCCCGCACACCCCCCACTGGGGATGTGCCCGCAACCAAGGTACATGCTCTTGACCGGAATCGAACCTGGGACCCCTGAGTCCGCAGGCCGACGCTCTATCCACTGAGCCGAACCGGTTAGGGCCTCTTTTAAGGTCTTATTTCTTCTCTGAACCTCCTTGATCTCTGGGTCTCCATTACCTCCTTTATTAAATAGGGGGTGATAATAACAACTGTCTGAGGAGACTTCGAAGCTCCCTAGGAACTCTCTGGTGAACCTGTTTTAATAGTGACAGCAACAACAACAGCCATCTGTTGAGGGCTTACTCCGTGCCAAACACCTTGCTAACTCCTTTACGTCCATTGCCCTATGGAATTATCAAAAGAACTCCATGCACTTGATAACTCCTAAAGAGTGCGGTATTAATAAATTATGAACAAACATTCCCGTTTAGCAGATGAGGGCAGGGGGAACGTTCACGAGGGTTAAGAAACTTGCCCAGAGTTACACAGTAGCAGAGGCAAGTCTTGAATGCCAGCTCTGGGTGCTTAATCACCATACACAACTCCCTAATGTATTTACCTGGCCAATTGAGATGCAATGGTTTGGAAATGTGCTTTTAAAGGGGGTTACAGCCCTGACTGGTTTGGCTCAGTGGATAGAGCGTCGGCCTGCAGACTCAAGGGTCCCAGGTTCGATTTCGGTCAAGGGCATGTACCTTGGTTGCGGGCACATACCCAGTGGGGAGTGTGCAGGAGGCAGCTGATCGATGTTTCTCTCTCATCGATGTTTCTAACTCTCTATCCCTCTCCCTTCTTCTCTGTAAAAAAATCAATAAAATATATATTAAAAAATAAAGGGGGTTACAGCAGGCCTGGTGGGGCCATCCAGCCCCCACTCTGACTTCCAAGTCACACTGACCAGGGCAGCTGACCAGGGCAATCTACTTTCAGGCCCCAAGTGAACTCAACCTGTTCATCCCCAGCCTCAGGCCCAACCTGTCTTCAGGTCCGCTCCTCCCCTTCACTAGGCATCCCTTAGACCACTATAAAGGAAGTGAAGACCAGAAATGGACCCATGCCCCCAGCTTCCCTCCCCCATCTCTATCTTCCTCTCTACTAAGCTGGTGGAACCCAGAACTTTGACCCTGCCCTGTGGCCCCAGCAGTGACTCAGGTTTTATGAGGGGCAAAGATGAAAGGGGCTGAGGCCTAGGGAAGCCTGGCCTGACTCAGGGACCGCTGGTAGCTATGACAGCATGTGGCCTGGCCCGAGACAGGGTCTGAGTGGCCCCAGAAAAGCCTTGTGTGTGGGAAAGGTGGTGGGCTGAGATGGAGTCCCCATCCTTTCCCCAGGCAGAATTCCTGAGAGCAGGACACACTCAGACACCTTAGGCCCTGGATTCCTAGCCCTTCACTGAGGCCCTGACCCTCTCCCTCGTTCTCACTACGGAGCCCCCTTTCTTCTAACAGAACCCCTGTCCTTGCTGGGATTTCCCCCACATGGAGCTTCACCCCCTCACTCCCCCTGAGTCTCTTCATTTCTGAAAAAAAATAATAGCAACTGCTATTTGCTGAGATTCCCTGTCCCTAATGGCATTAACAGTAAGAGGCAAAGCCAGGGTCCTAAGTCATTTATTCATTCATTCACTCATTCACTTATTCATTCATTCAATGCTAATTGTGCTAGGTGATGCCCTAGTCCAGTGATGGCGAACCTATGACACGCGTGAACTCACTTTTTTGGTTGATTTTTCTTTGTTAAATGGCATTTAAATATATAAAATAAATATCAAAAATATAAATCTTTGTTTTACTGTGGTAACAAATATCAAAAAATTTCTATATGTGACACGGCACCAGAGTTAAGTTAGGGTTTTTCAAAATGCTGACACGCCGAGCTCAACAGGTTCGCCATCACTGCCCTAGTCCCTGATTAGGTTCATCCAAAGCCAACTTTCCCATGAAGAGTCCAGGGAGTCCAGGGGTCAACAAATTACCATAAAAACAGGAACCACATTTGGAAGGCCCCATAGGCTTTGGCAAAGCAACAGGAAATCCGCTTCACAGGAAGCCATTGGTAGTCAAATTAGATATTGTCAGTGACCTCCCAATAATCAGAATGCAATGCCTCTCTCACCCCAACCCAGCCCCTGGACAACACCCCTGACAGACAGTCATTCCACAAGCATGCGGTCACTCGCTTCTGCTTGCACACCTCTAGGGATAGGGAGGTCACCATCTGACAGTTGACCTGACCAATCCCTGGACAGTCATGACTGCTAGAATGTTCCTCACACTATGCTGGAATCTGCCTGCATATAGCTCCCCTTTTTGTCTTTGCTTTGAAGACACACCCCAATGACCAGTATGTCTTAAGTGCCCGTTCCCTCTCTTCTCCAGGGCCCCATCTCAGAAGTGAATTGGTTGGCAGGGTAACCTGTGACCTCCACACAAGGCAAGGTGTGGGGCTGGGAAGGGAGAGGCTGAGGAAGGGGCGGAGGGGAGTGTGGGAAAGAGCCTTGTCTAACCCAACAAGTCCTCGCTTACCTGTGAGTCACCCCCAAACTAGGCCAAACCAGTCTACAGGCCCACATCCCACAAACACATGCTGCGTCACACCGGCACACACTGACACGCAGCCAGCCACCGGCACAGACCCAGGGAGTAGCACAGGCACAAAAACACAGACACTTGCTAGTATGTTGACTTACACAAACACAGTCAGAGCTACAAACACTCAAGAGACACAGCAACACACCAGTCACAGCCACGCTGGCACAAGCACACATTCCTAATGCACACAGTCAATTCACAGCCTGCAGTCAAACACAGACACACAACCTTGAAGGCACAGGCATTCCCACTTGCAGGCCCAACTGTGTCCCGCCTCCCCACCCCCTATATTCGCCAATCCTGCCCCAGAAACCCTGGGGACAGAGGAGGAAGATGTCCCTGGAGGTCCGCTTCCTCCTCTCTAAGGGAACCCTAGCCTCCCGCCAGAGTCTGTCATTATCCACCTGGACCCGAAATAGCCGGGGAGTAGCAGGTACAGCCCCAGCCCCCCAGCTAAACCTATTGCTTCTGTCCTCTCTCCAAGGCCTTTCTCCTCCACCCCTTCCCTCACTCGGCAGCCCTCTCCCCGGCTGGGTCACCGAGCAGATCTGAGCCAGCCAAGCTCCCACCTCTCCCTCCTCCTTGCCGCAGGACCAGTTACCTGCCTCCCATCCAGAGGCCCGGACATCCCTGGCACAATGCCGCCAAATCCACCTCCACAGGGTCAGAGAAAACCCTGGAGTCCGCACAGCAACCACACTCAACCCTCCCCTGTCTGCACAGGGCCAACGAGGCCTCTGTGAGAGGCAGGATAGAGAAATGATTAGAGCACAGGCACCACATTCAAATTCAGGCCCCTCACTTTCGGGTGGACTTTGAGCAAGTGATAGAACCTCTCTGAGCCTCAGTTCCCTATTGTAATCAGGGCATGGGGGTGTAGAGCAGGAATAGTCCTACTCCATGGGCTGTTGTGAGGATGAAACAGGATTATGTTTAGAAAACAAACCATAAATGACAGCCACCACCACATTAGGAATTTTTCAGAGCCCTGTGTGAGGCCCAGTGCCCCAGGGCCATATTCACCCCTTCTCAGGTGAGTTTTAGGGAACCCACTCTTTCACCTCTGAGCCCACCAAGCAGATTTGGGAGAATCATTTCAAAACACATAAAAATCGAGGCTTGGGAATCTCAGTGCCCGTTCCTGTGGCCGCTGACACAGAGCCTGGTAGGTAATTATTGCTGCGACTGAGGTGTTATTAATAAGCATCCCTGCTATTTTGGCAGCCCATCTCTCTGGAGTTCAAAGCATGATCCTGTAACTACCTCATCTCCAGCTACCAAATCTACTGGACAACTCAGGGACCAGAGAGGTTAAGCAATTTGCCCCAAGACACCCAGCACCTTGGCTAGTGCCTATTCCCAGGTGGGTTCTGTGGTCGCCTGAACAGAAGCAGGGAGTGGTGGGTGTTGCTGAGGAGAAGGTGACCCCTCTCCCAGCCTCTTCATGAAGGCTCTCCCCCTCCTCAGATGGAGGGGGGAGGAGAGCAGCAGTGGGTTCAGGAGGTAGGCTGTGGGTGAGGGGAGGGAGAGGAAGGCAAGGTGAGTGGGGAGGGGATGGCAGAGTTAGTTCATGCTCAGGGAGCTGAATGAATGGGCCTGGAGTTGAAGGAGTCTGGAGGTGCGGCAGAGACCCCAGAAAGGGCAGCCAGGCTAGTTCTTCCTCCCACGGCCGCCCCACGTGGGGACGGACCTGTACTCACCGTGTGTGTTGGGACCCAGGTGTCCAGTGGGCCTGGATCTCCTGCTGCTGGGCCGTGCTCTTCTGATGCCGTGGGGCTCTTAGCCGGGGCTCCTGGGGCGGGTCAGTTGGGCACCCCGTGATGGGGCGGGGCCCCTGGGGAGGATCCAGCCAGGCCCTGAATTCCTCAGGGCAGAAGGGGTGAAGAGCTGGTTGGGCCGGTTTGGGCTCCCCACCCTCCTCCCCAGGTGTCAGCCCACGCCCCTGCAGGATGACAGTGATGTGGTAGCGGGTCTTCCTGGCAGAGGTTCGCTCCGGTAGGATCTGGGCTGGCTCTGGCAGTGCTGGCCCTGGGGTGGCAGGCTTGCCCTTTGCCCCTTCTGCCTTGGGAAAGGATGCTGGGCGGGGCGGCATGTCTTCCACGGTGCTGGGTGGCTCAGGATTCAGAGGGACCTCTGGGGCCATATATGGGGGTTGCAGGCAAGTGCAGTCTGGGGTTTCCTGTTCCAAATGCCCAGGCACCGGCACTGGGCATGAGGGGTGCCTGGCACCAGCAGGGTCTGCTGCCAGTGCTGGGCTCTCCAGCTCCATGGAGGGATAGTTGGCCATGTCAGAGGCGCTGCCCACAGCTGGCCTCTGGAGGCGCCCCAGGGGCTGAGCGAGCCCTCCTGAGCTGTGTCGTCGCTTCCAAAGCCAGGAACCTCGGCTCCCTTCCTGAAGGTCCCATTCTGAGCGGCTCTGGGCTTGGGTCTGAGGGAAAGCAGAGGCAGCGGCCTGGTGACAGCGTCTTCCCCTGCCCTCCAGGCACCTCCTCACCCCGACTGCCCTCCTTGCACCGGAGAAGCAGAGCTGTCCTAAGGGAGGCGGCCAGGGCCATGAGAGCTGGGCAAAGGGGCAGAGCTCCAGGAAAGCCCTTCCCCACTCAACTCACACCTCCCGTTCTACAGTGAGGAAAGAGAGCCAGAGAAGACACCGACATGAATAAAGTCACACACGAGGGCCCAACTTTCAGGTCAGCTGCTGCTTCCCCAGCTGCCCTGGGGATTAGGGGCTCGTGGGCATGCCTGCCTCAGCGCCCATGGCCTCTGCCTGCAGCCACCTCCCCAGCACCCTCCCACCTGAGATCCCCAGACACACCTGGGCAGAGAGATGTACCTGGGACATGAGGGAGTCAGGGAAGAGGGTTCCCCTGAAAATGGGACACACCTGACCTGTGTCTGCTGTTTCCCCTGGGGCCAAGTCTGGCTGTGGGGGTGAGGGGAAAGGGCCCAGGATCCCAGACCCATAAGGACACTGCCCCCTTTGTGCCCCCACCCCCCAAAACCCAGTTTTCAAGGAGGTATTTATGCTCTGACAACAGAGGAGTCAAGTCTGGGTCAAAATTCCTTCTAGCAGGGACCCTTGATCCCAAATGTCTCCATTTACTCATCTGTGAAATAGGTGCAGCCTTTCATTCACCAGGGGCTGAACACCTCAAGAGATGGAAGAGGACAATGATTCCTGTGGGGGCCTGGAGCGGGGCGGCCCGGGCTTGAATCCTAGCTCTGCTACTTCCTAGCTCTGCTACTTCCTAGCTCTGCTACTTCCTAGCTCTGCTACTTCCTAGCTGCAATACCTCTTGCATCTCAGTTTCCCCGTGTGTAAAACTGGCGTGATGATAACAGCACCCGCTTCCTGGGAGTGCTGTGGAGATTTCATGAGATAATCTATGCAGAACGGCACATAACGAGTGCTCAATTACATGTGAGTAATTACTCATGGTATTCAGGACCACAGAGAGACACACGGCTGCTTGAGCCAGCTCCAAGGGAAGGACACCCCGTGCTGCCCCATCCATGGCTCAGACGGGAAAACTGTGGCCAGAAGGTTAAGTCACTGGCCCAGCATCACCCCTGGGGGGTCCATGCCAGGAAGTGGGTTAAAAGGACAAAAGATGGGAGGGAGGTCAAGCTAAAGCAGGAAGTGTGGAAAAGGGGGTCCTGGGAACAGGCGGAGACCCTGCATGCCTCCCTGGGGCCCCGCGTTAGGAAGCTCATGTTTCCTGAGCATCTAGACCCCACGCTGGATGTTCTGCATCCATTACCTCATGTCTCACAGCAGCCCTGAGAGGCATTACTGTCCCCATTTTGCAGATGGAGAAACTGAGGTTCAGAGGTGAGGAGTGATCTGCCCTGGTTCACCCAGTGAATAAGTGACAAAGGGAGGATTAGAGAACTCCAGTTGCCTGACTTAGGAGTCAAGGTTCTCAGGGCCTGCCCCTCCCCCACCAGCCCCTTCCTGGCCTCCCCTTTGCCTTCTCTCCTACCTTGAGGCTGACATGGTTAGTGCTGCCCCGGCCTTGGGCCAGGTCAGGGCAACTCTGGCCACCCCAGGGCCTGAAAAGGAAGCACAGGGGGAAGGGAGTGAGGTAGCCTTCTCCTCTCCCACCCCAAGACCTGACCGAGCAGCCTCTCTCACTTCTCTCAGATCCCACAGCCTGGATGAGCTCCTGAAATCTGGGGAAAGGGGAAGCTTGTACAGCAGCCTCCTCTCTGCTCCCTCCCCCACCTGTCCGCTCCACCCCCAGAGACAGAGAAAGAGGGCTGGGCTTGGAGAAAAGTGGGGACTAGGCCTGTATCAGGGCCAGAATACAGAAAAGCGACAGTGCCCCGATAATTCAAAAGCTCGCCATTTGCTGAAGCACTCCCTATGCCAGGCTTAGCACTGGGTGTTTTGCCCACATGGTCTCCCTTAAGCCTCAAAATAACCCTAAGAGGTGGATATTAGTGCCCCATTTTTCAGGTAAGGAAACAGAGGCCAGAGAGATGAAGCCTAGAATCACACGGCTAATGAGCCTTGGGAGTAAGACACTAGGACCATCCCACTCTGTAGGCTGGTTGGACATCACCACACGAATGGGGGGCAAGATGAGGATGTGCCTTGGTTGCCTCCTCCATGCACTCTGACCCCCACCAGGGAAACCAGCAGGAATCGGAGGCTCGTGCCTCAGTCCCATTCTCACAGCTGTGAGAACTGAACCCAAGTGCATACACGGGATGTGTCATCATGCTACTGCAGGAGCCTACGCAGTCCCTCCCCTGCCCTCCACATCGCTGAATCACCTACGCCCCAACCCCACCTCCTCTCAAGTGGGGAAAGGGAGGGGCAGAGCCACCTGGGCCTATAGGGCAGGTTTCTGCCAGGCAGGGTAAAGGGGGAGGGGCGTGTCTTCCAGCGGGGTAGGGCATGGCACTAGCAGGGTGTGGGCACCACCCTCCAGCTCACCCAGGCTTCCCAGCATAGGGTGGCTAGGCCCTCCCTGCCCCTCCCCTCTCTCTTTGGGGTGAGAGAGCAGTACAAACCCTTCCCCTCACTCTGCCTCCACCACGCCCCCATTCCTCCCAAGGTGAGCTGAAAACAGTTGTGTCATGATAAGATCAGAACAAATTGCTGGGTAACTGAACTGTACAGACACACAAACACCCCACCCTCTTCTGGGATATGGGCCCAGGAGCTACTGGGGTCCTCGATTCCACTGGTCACAGGGCCAGTGGCAGCGAGGCTAGGACAGACTCTGGCCCCCTGGCTTGCAGGCCTTCAGTCTCTCAAGGCAACAGAGCAGCCGGGGCTTCAGGATGTGAGCTCTGGAGTCAGACTGCCCAAGCTTGTCCTCCAGCCCCACCACTCCCCAGTCGTGTGGTGGACAGGGCACTTTGCCGCTCTGAACCTCCATTTCCACGTCTGAGTCACACTGAACACCTGTCCCAGGGAGCTGCTGTAAGGATTAAATGAGATCATTCAAGTGAGGCACTCAGCAAGCGGCAAAGAGAGGCTGGTTGCTATTGCGACCTGGGATGACAGGGAAAACCTCGCCGTGGCAACAAGGGCAAGTGCAGTGCCGCCTAAGACAACTCAGGCGCCGGTCACACTCGTAACAAAGGGTCAGGAAGACCAGAGGGAACTGGCCTGTTAGTGGGAATCAAAGTCCACACAGGCGGAAGGAGTTACTGCATCGCCTTTAATCTCCTCCGTAAAGAAATTGTCTGCAGGCGGCTGGATGGGAGGGAGGTCGAGCTAAAGCAGCCTGACTTAAGGAAATCGCAAAACTTGTTTTAAAGTTTCAAAAGAGCACAGGGACTTTATAAAGACCGTCTTCGCATTTACACATCCAAAATCGACACATTGCCCTGACCGGTTTGGCTCAGTGGATAGAGCGGACTGAGGGGTCCCGGGTTCGATTCCAGTCAAGGGCATGTACCTTGGTTGCGAGCACATCCCCAGTAGGGAGTGTGCAGGAGGCAGCTGAATCGATGATTCTCTCTCATCGATGTTTCTAACTCTCTATCCCTCTCCCTTCCTCTCTGTAAAAAATTAATAAAATACAAAATCGACACATTTTTATGCTCCGAGACACTCACATCTCACATACGCGTATTTTAATATATACTACACTCTCCGACAGACAGACAGCTACACACACACACACACACACACACGCGCGCGCGCGCGCGCGCGGGCACCCACGCGGCCCTCCTCCATCCCTCACCTATCCCGGGCTCTGGCCTCCTCCGGGGTCCGCTTCCCCCTGCGCACCCCTAACCCGGCCAGGCGACGGACCAGGCGGAGCCCCAGGCCCTCGCGCCGCTCGGCCATGGCGAGGGCAAGGCCCCGGGCTCGGGACGTCGGGGCACCTGACCGCTTCGGGCCGCCGGGCCCACCCGGATCCGCTCTTTAGCGGAGAACCGCCTACTCCGGCCCGGCCCCCAGAGCAAACAGCCGTCCCGCCCGCCCGCGAGCCGCGGGGACCCACCCAGATGCTGCCCGTACCCGGGGGCAGCGAGTGCGCTTTGTAGGGGCCGCCCGGACCCGGCGACAGAGCCCCTTCTCCCCCAGGCCCTGCCCGCGCGCCTCGGGGTCTCCTGGGGGCGCCAGGGCCCGCAGATACCGCCACCCCCGAAGCGGGGTCTACACGAGGAGGGTGGGGAAATAGGCATCGGGGTGAGCTGGGGCCAGGGGGCGGGGCTGAGCGCAGGGTCTTTCCCTCCCCCACGAAGGAGGGGCTAGAACGCAGGGGCGGGGCCGTTGCTGGAATGGGCGTGGTCTCGTCGACTGGGCGGGGCCTTACCCCGTGGTTGTCACCTGGCGTGGGGGGGCCAAAGCGGTGACTGGGTGGGCTTGGAACCGGGACCTTGATTACCGGTGGGGGCTGAAGCCGACCCTGCCATTGTCAGCCGTGGTGGCTCTCCGGTTCTCTGTCCTGGAGATGGACACGGCCATAATCTCCACCAGGACCCCTGGGGAAACCGCTCTGAAACCACATGGTTGGGAATGGCGCCCTGCTGGAAGATGTCCAGCTATTGTTGTTTAATTACAGCTACTGTTTGCTGAGAGATAGCCTGGACCTGCTGCCTCCCAGCTGCTGCCTTCCCACCTGCTGCTGCCTCTGTAACTCTCGAGTGCGGGTGGGGGACACCTTGCCCCTCTGAGGGGATCCTCTAGGACTGCGGAGAGAAAGGCCACCAGGAGGGGCCCAGTTCCCCAGGCTCTCTTTGCCGGTTCTTCTCTGCCTATAGTCCTTGCAGGGCCTCTACCCCTTCCCTGAGCCCAGCACTCCTTAGCCCTTTGCCCTCTGTGGTGCCTGTCCTGGCACATGGGACATCATGCTTCTGGGTCATGGTGGACACTGACATCCTGCGTTCCTGCCCATCTACCCACACAGGGGGCTCAATCCTGGCATGCACAGGCCAGGCATGGCAGGGAGTAACCAGCTGAGGGGCACCGTGGCCTCCTAAGAACTAAGACAAGAGGTGGTGGGAAGCAGCAGACAGACATCTGAACAGATGAGAGAGCAACATGCCCCTTCTTGGCAGCACAGTCTGCACCTTGCAGAGGCCTGGAAGGCTGGACTGTCCATCGGTGAGCCGAGATGAAGGACCTGGTCCCAAGAGGGGGCAGAGCCCAAACCCAAGCCTCAGGTGGTGACTGCAGGCACCCCTCCATGTGTGGGCAGCACAGGCTCTTCCTGCCTGTCTTGACCTGCTCCAAGGTGAGTTGTGAAGTCTGGCAAATACACGGCGGCTTCCCCCTTCACTGTTAAAGCTCAAGAGGCCTCAACTGGTTAGAGAGAAAATCCTTTAATCGCTCTGCCCCTGCCCCTCCCCAGAGCAGTCCTGACACCACGGCTCAGGCTGGCTGCCCTTGCTTTCCCAAGATGCTGAGGACACCTTCATCTTGTCAGCTTCCTGGCCCACCTGCCTCTCTGATGGCACCATCACAAGATCTAGTGCCCCTTGGTGCCACCCGGCAAGGCAGGTGAGAGATGCCAGAGGTAGGTGGGTATGAGCCAGGCTGCAGGGCAGTGGAGCATGCAGCCGATGGTGCAGCTGCAGGTGAACGTTCTGGGTGAAGCGACTCGGGCAGACACTGCACTGGAAGGGCCGGGCCCCCGAGTGCAGGCGCAGGTGCGTCTTGAGGTTGCTGGAGCTGCTGAAGCGCTTGTGGCACGTCTGATGGGAATGAGCACTGGCATCAGTTGTGCCCACCCAGCTGGCTCAGGATCTCTGCTCCCCTTCCCCACTCCCTCCCCACTTCCCTGTAATACAGACTCTGAAGCTGTCCCTCCTCCCCCCGACACACACACACACACCACCCCAGGATTCCACCCTGGGACCCACGGTGTCTGGCACATTGGAGCCAGGCAGACCTGGTTGGTATCCTGGTTCTTTTATTTCCTGCATGGCCTTGTGTAGGTGACTTCCCCTCTCTGAGCCTTGTCCACCTTATTGGTAACATGTGACTGTTAATACTTAACTTCATCGGTATGATAGACTGAATGAGGTCATCACATGCAACCTTTATGAGTGGGGCTGCCGCTTCCGTGGGTATAATTAACATTTACTGGGAGCAGCCACAGGCTAGGAATTGGTCTCGCGTAGTCTTCCCCACGACCCCGAGGAAGCATGACTAAGTACTAGGGCAACCCCTATAGGACAGTGAGAAAGCAGAGGCTCAGGGGATTGAACCACTGGCCCAAGGCCCCACAGCAAGTTGGAGGCAGAGCAAGGATTTGAACCCACTTCGCTCAGACTCACAGCCACTGTGCTGCTTTCATTCTGTTTGTGTAAAACAGGGCAAGAGTCCCTGCCCTCTGACCTCCCAAGTGGGGACTGCGGAGGCTCAAAGAGGGAGAGAGCCAACCTGGGGCTGATGTTATTTATATGCAGTGTTTGTGTGCTTTGTACACCTTATGCCATTAACTTCTCCAGCAGGAAAGAAGGTAATAGGTATCCACCCCCAACTTTACTATCCTCCCCGCACAGACTTACACCTCTATTCCCCGCCCCAGACCCCAGGAATGACCTCCAATATCACTTCCTGGCCCTTCGGGGCTCAGAGGGGTCATTTTCATGCTCCCCCCCTCCCTCCCTGCCCACCCTCGTCTCAGGAGGATTGGGAATGGAGGCCACAGGGCCCTCCCCCAGGGGTCTGGAACTCCTTTCTCACTTGCCTGCAGGAGTGCAGGAGGGGAGAAGGGTCTCACCAGGCACTTGTGGGGCCGCTCCCCAGTGTGCACCAGGCGGTGCTTCTGCAGGTGGGCGAGCTGGGTGAAGCTTTTCTGGCACAGGGCACACTGAAACGGCCGCTCCCCGCTGTGTACACGCAGGTGGACCTGAGCCAGGTATGGAGGAAATGCTGCCAACTGCCCAGAGCCCCAGCAGGGCCTGGGGTCCTCTCTGAACCTCTACCCACATCTCCACAGGAACTCATTCTGGCATCAAGGCCTCTCAAGCCCCTCACCTCTCTGTCACTCCCCCCTCAGGGCCTCTCTTCCATCCCCCAGGTACCCCCTCTCTCTGTTGCCCTGGGGGAGGGAGGTGGCGGTGGTCAGAAGGCCAGGGAAGAGGGAATGTATCTCCTGAGCAGTGCTTCTCAAAGTGTGGTCCACAGACCAGCAGCATCAGCATCACCCGGAAGTACATTAAAACATTAAAAATGTAGATTCTCAGGCCCCACGCTGACCATCTGAATTAGAATCCCTGGGCTGGGGCCTAGGAATCTGCATGTTTACTAGCTCTGTTGGTAGTTTGAGGCTCATTAAAGTTTGGGAACTCATGCCTGAGGATCAAGAAGGCATCTCCCTCAATAATCATAACCTTTCCTCAACTTCAGCAATGCCAATTTATGCATAGCGCTCATCTTTGCTGACATGGAGGTGTGCCCATGGTCGCCCCCTGGTGGACGCCAATGGCACTGGGCGCTGGTTTGTGGGATCCCACTTGACAAAGGCTGGTCCTCAGTTCTATGGGTCTCACTAAGATCTACCCGTTCGCCCACTGAACTTCAAACAAGCAGACAAACACGAGGAGATATAACTGGGAATCTAGAAAAAAAGGCTGTTCAGGAAAGGGCTTTGCACTAGATGCTGAGAGACCGAGATCAAGGCCTAAATTCACCATTAAATTAAAAGATGCTGGGGATTGGGGGGTAGGAGGGGGGGCGGGCAGCGGAGCCCAGGAGGCCGATACCTTGAGGTTGGAGAGCTGCCCGAAGCTCTTGCTGCACACGTTGCATTCGTACAGGATTTTGCCATTCTCTTTCTTCAGCGGGTAAGGCAGGGCTGCGCGGGAGCCCAGTGGGGCCCGCTTTGCTGGAGCCGCCCTGCCAGCATGTTCCGGCGCTGGGGAGTAGGTCCTGGCAGCTCCAGGGCCTGGAATTGGGGCCTGGGACAGTGGGGTTTGACCAGGGGCTTGAGAGGCCCCTGGGTAGGGACGCAGGGTCTCCCCCCAGGAGCTGTGGTGCCCAGGCTCACTGACACTCAGCACACTGGGCACAGCCCTGGTGGGGTAGGAGGTATCTTGGGGCAACATGAAGAAAGGGTGGCATTGGACAGAAGGGGCCCCATAGGTGAACAGATAAGGTGGGGCCAGGAGAAGTGGATATGCAGGGCAGAGGGGGTGAAGGCGGAATGGGAGTTCTTTGGAGATGGGTATGGGTGGGGGGCAGGGGCAGAAAGCCAAGGAGCTGGAGCACTTTCCATTCTGCCAGGGGTTTGGGGAGGAGCTGTTGTGAGGAGAGAAGAACGGGCAGGGGGCCTCCTCATCAGCTCGTTCCTGCTGGCTTCCCATCGTATCCCTGCTCAGAGGGGACGTGGCTGTGAGTCTGTCGTCATCGGTGGAGCTGGCATGCGGCCCTGGTGACTGGCGCTCTGAG